CATGAAAGGGTTAAAAGTCCACAGAAATCGTGGCAGCTCTGTGAATATGCTTTCACTTCTTAACCACTGCGTATGGTGACCATACGTCCTCTTTTACCTGGACATGTCCTCTTTTTTGGGGGCTGTCCGGCCTTGTCCGGGGACTTTAACAGGGCCCGACCGATTTATCAGCGAGACAATTAAATCGGCCAATTTTAGCCAGTTTGAGACTAATCAGTAATCGGCCAAAACTCGCAGATTTTCGCCAATATTTTCGGAAATAAAATGTGGAGAAGATTCGGGGTTGAAAATGTTTTTCTGATCCGATCAGTCGGTCTTCCTGTCGGTGTGAAGAGCATAATATCTATACTTTAGATATCTACACAGTACATATATATCTATATATATATATATACTATATATATCATAACTATATTATTATATGTAAAAATCACTGGACCCGACCCGAAAAACTCTCAAAATGCACTACGTTCGACTCTCTGACTCCGCCCCGCATAGTCGTGTCCTCTTTTTCGGGATTCAGAATATGGTCACCCTACCGCTGCATTGAATAGAGTATTTGTCGTGTTCGTTAGGTGACTGGCGAGAGTGCCCCTAGTGGTTGTTTTCAATATTGCAAGAAAGACTGAAGATCTACGAAAACTTGAAACAAGGTTAAGTTTTTCGTAGACGCAAAGACATGAAGAAAAAAAAACTTTAAATCAATCCTGATGTTTGTTCCTACTATGGAAATTTGTAACTAAAAATCGCATGAAAAGTCTTGTGAGTTTTTATCCCAGAGTTAAAATAAGATTTACTATTTATCATGACTTGAAATTAGACTTGACATGAATTAAAACCTATGAACTGCATTTTTAATCCCCATAAAATCTCTGCTCTTCGTTGGTTTTGTCGGAGAGTCTCTTTCACGGCTGTTCATTTCGTTTATTGAAAATCTTTAAAGTAGAATACACTTCCGTGTTTTTCTTTCGCTCCCCTCTTATTTCTTCCTCTCCGTCACCATCTGTGTGTGTTTTTTCGTTCTTTGGAGCGTAATCGCGCTGCCATTTTACCGAGGACTCTCCCGGAGCCTCTGATCCCCGGAGACCGTCCTGCTGAAATAAAAGGTCAAATAAAGCGTAAAGTAAACGATAGCGGACAGGTGTTGCTGTTGTTGCGCCTCCTGCACGTGCAGCATGTGAAGAGTCTAATCTGATCAGTCTGGTGTACGTTCACGTCCCGCCGAGACAAACAGGACCTGACTCCACCCGGCTGTCTCTGTCTGCTCACGCCGGAGGTCAAAACAGACAATTTCACACATTTAAAAAACAGGCTTTCTCATTTCCAGCTTAAAAACACAATTTAGCATGGTGCTCAGGGACAACGGCTCGCCTTATGATCGCCACCTTCCTTCTGTCTGTCACATGTGGTTGTTTTTGCCGCCGCTCTGCCTCCTCGCTCGGCGCTGATTTGCCCCATTAGTCGAGCATATGTGTGGATTGTGCTGTCGAACCCAATCAGCTGATTTGAAGCCAGGGTCGTGTCTCTGTAGGGAGCCTTGTCCTCCTCCTCCTCCTCCTCCTGAGCCCAAAAAGAGGTGAGGAGTGACTGAGTGCATTTTCAATTTCAGCTCCGATTTGGTGAACATGAGTGACGCCATTTTGAAGACCTTCCCGTTTATTCTCGCACGTTTATCCTCCTCTCCTTTGTCTCCTTATTTGCTCCTCGTTTCGTGCTTTCCTTGAAGTCCCCTCCAGCACACACTCATATTTTCTTTCCACAACTTGTCTGAAAAAACACCGAACACAGGGAAGTGGACCCAAAGCAGATGGCGATGGCAAAACCAGAACAGTTCAAATGAATTTCTTGGAGGAGAGAGAAAAAAAAACAGCAAAACCCCGAGGTTTTCAGAACGGTGAAGCTGGCAACGAGTGAACCAGAGACCGTCCAACACAGACGCACAAATCTGGGGTGTGTTCAGGCAATCAGGAGTGAGAAAGGAAACAAGAAACGGAGACTGAAATATGAAACTCGATTCTATCAGTAAATCAGAGGCTCGACTCTTTTGTCTCTTTCTGTTCTTTATTTTCGTCTGATATTCATCCTGATTAAACATTTCTCTGTTTTCACTTTATTTCACCCACTTTTATTTCTTACCCCGAATTTCCACTGGATCTGAAACGGCTCCGATCCGGAACGGCAGCGATTTTCATGTCAATTTCTACCAGATCCATTTCGTGGTGGATTATGGACAGCAGGAATTGTGAGAACTCACAAGAACCCACGGATTCATGTGCAATCGCGCGATAATGAGTTGTCTTTACCCACAGAAGCTAACCATATAAGCAGTAGATAGTTTCCTTCCAGAGGAGGAAATCTACTTCTAGACTTCTAGAATCAGCATCTCCTCATCCACGGTGTCATCGGGGTGAAATGACGTCTAAAAACCTTTCACTTGTTCGTCTCCGCCCGTTTGCATGGTGTGAAATACGATCCTCCTGAAACACACAGTGGATATTTTATTTTGTGTCTGTGCCTGACTTCCTTTCCAGTCGATCTGTTCTGAATTTATCCAAATAGAACTCTTGCAATCAGCTGTGGAGTCCGGCGATCCGCAGCGGAACAGAAAGAAGACGGTGGAAATCAACATATCCACCAATCAGCTGCGATCGGCAGATACGTCCTTTTCGTAGCCATGCCGGATGCGGTGGAAATTGCCAGTTACTACTATTGACATGAAGCTCCAGGGATGTGAACAGTTTACAGACCCACCACTTGAACAGCTGACGTCAGAATTATGAACTGGAGTCGGGTCACGGGGTCAGCAGCCAGACCCCCTCTCCTCGGTCACTTTGTACATCTCTTCCCAGGGACCCCACGGCCCTGTTTATGTGGTCTACTGGTGGGATTTCGACCACTCGCAATGTTACTTGGCCTTGAGGTCACTACCCAAAGCTCGTGACCACAGATGAGCGTAGGAACGTAGATCGACCGTTACATCGAGACCTTTGTCTTTCGGCTCACAGCGTCCAAATCACTGCAGACGAGTTTCTGTAAATCGTCTTTTTACTCGTTCTCTGCTACAGTCTGATTTCTTCCTTTTCTCCGTACTTTAATAACTGCTTCTCCCTTTTTATTTTAGATGCCTTATTTATTTAGTTTGATTGATTGATTGATTGATTGATTGATGGATTTTACCTGGTGAGAGACCCAAGTGGAGGTGCTGCGTTTCACTGCTTCAACTTGTTAACTTTCCCCGGAGTGAAAGTGTGGGAATGCAGGAGTCCAACTTGCACATTTCAGCACCGTGCCGCTGTGATCATTTTACCTCCTCCGTCTCTTCTCTCTGAGCTGACTGACGCCTCGCTGCTCGACACAGCAATGATTTTTTCAAAAGGTGGCCAGTTTCTGCTACAGCTTACTGTGTGGATGTCTGCGCGCTGGTGTGTGTGTGTGTGTGTGTGCAATTAGAGAGTGAGAGTGAGTAGAGCATGTCAGTAGACTCTTGACAAAGTTGCCGTTGGCAGCGCAGCTCCTCATCATCTCCACATCGGGATAAAATGAACCCAGGAGACCGGTGCCCCCGAGTTCCTCAGTAGACTTAATTTAACAGAGTTAAAATCAATTTCTCTGCGCTCTCCTGGGTCAAATTAACTATCTCCTCGTATGAAGAAACACCAACTACTTGACAGCTCGTCCAGATCCTGACTGTGTCCGTCTGTCGGTCGACTGGCAAAGCGCTTTTCATTTCTTCGCCAATCTCCCGTTCTCACTTGGAGCGTGGGCCGTCCGCATGGCGAGCTTCGATCTGCCAAGAAAGTGACTGGATGGTGACGGCGCCCAGGCTGGTCTCCATATCCCAGTATGTTTCGGTTCACAGTAATTGCTCTTATTTGTCGAGACACGCAGCGGAAGATGACACGGGCTGAAATGCAACTCTGATGTAAGATGAGTGTTGATTAGGAGCGGAGTTTAACAGCGAGGTCGCAGCTTTCGCTGTCGCTCCGGAGCTTTCTGCGGAGCAGTTAAGGTGTCGGTTTATCCCACAACAGTTTGAAAGGTTTGGAAAACAAGAATATCGACTAATCTGAGAGATGAGCGGCATCACGACGGCGTTCACTTGGCTGACGACCAAACGAAGTTCTTAACTGTTCAGCGACCTGTTTTATCTGTTAGCTCAGAATAGACAGAAACAAAACAAACAAAATCTCACTGCTTTTCTGTTAATATTTTTCGCCCCACTTTGAACTCAAACGGCTCAAAGATCAGAGTCGCTTTATTCTCAAACTTAGTCTTTATATTTTTTTCTTGACTTGCTGATTTATATCAAAGCGTCTATCATCACACCATCATTCCTGTTTCCAGATCAGCTCCCACTGTTTGTTTTAGTTTAGTTGTTAGTGTTTCCTGTTTTATTTTGAAGTAGTCAGTCCGTGTTTGTCAAGTCTGGTTTTCCCTCCTTCGTTAATTTCTCACGAGTCTCACCTGGTGCTCGTTTCCCAGTGTGTGTATACAGCTCCTGTTTCCCCCTCTGTCTTTGGTGGGTTATTGTCGGTCCATGTATTATCTGTCCATTCAATTATTCCATTCAATCTAGTAACTGAAAAATGAATAAATGAGTCACTATTTTATTTGTTTTTCTATATAACCTAAAAATAAAAAAATGTGTTTGTTTTTGTGTTTTCAGCTCAAAACAGCATAAATAAAAAAGAAGGAAACAAAAACAAAACAATAAATCTTATTAACGATTATTGATTTTCAGTGGGCCTGTTTTGAGCGTACATGCATGGATCCTCGGTGACAGTTACCATGGCGAAAGATGCGACAGAGCGGTTTGAGCCCAGAAATGTTACGTTGTAACAGAGCTGTGGTTGTCATTGTTTCCACAGTCATATCTTCCTCCTTCAGCGTGACCCTCCTGGCGGCTTTGAATCATACGTAGGGTGCGTCCGTCTCCATATCGATCCAGAAAAGTCACTAAGAAGTTAGAGTTATCTGGACTGATTGGAGAGCTGTGTAGCTTTTGTCTGTCCTGGGTAGCTATGGCTCCACCTGTTGGCCAGCAAAACTCTAACACAGGAAGTACAATCATTGAAGGAAAACCAGGAAGTCTATAAAAGGACCAGGAAGTTGGCGGTTCTTCCCTTTGTCTCCAGCAGACCACACATGAGCCGACTCCTGAAGAAGACTGCAAACTGAAAACATCAGCTGTGAGTTTTGTTCTGTGTGGCTGCTCCTTGGTTTTTTAGCAGAAAATGGTGTTAAAACATGTATTTTTTTTTTACTTGCTTGTTTAAGTATTTAGTTTAGTTTATCCTGGTGCTTAGCCTAGCATGTAGCCCACAGCTTAGCTGATTTGCTTATTGCAAAATCAGCTAAGCTCTGGGCCACATGTCTGGTTTAGTCAGTACCTTAGCTTAGCTTTTAGCATTAGCATGTGATGTAGCATGTAGCTAAGGCTCACACAGCTCAATTCATCATGTAGCTTAGCGCTTAGCATTAGCAAATAGCATTTAGCTTAGCACCAATGTTTCATTTGTATTATGAGTAAATGTATTATTTTCTATGAGAAGTTGTTTACAGCATTTTGTTGATCAGTGCGTTATTATTTCTCTTTGTTGTAGTTTTTACTCTGAATTTAACCAGTGATGAATAAACAAGATCAACTGAGACCTGACTCAATCATTTAATTTTAAATTTTTAAAAGTTTTTAGAGATTAACTGTCAAACTGCATAATCACACATGTAGGGAGGACAGTTTAACACCAAAGATGTTTCATTGGTTTGAAGTCTGATTAGGAGCAGGTGGGCCGCAGGTATATTTGAGTTTATAACATGCATTTTCGAATTGGCCTAATTTATTCTGCTGTTGACCGCAGTATTCAGTGGATACTGTATACTGAGTACTGTGTTCAATAGTAGTATGTAGTATGACTGCAAGTCGGCTGTTATTATGTAGCATGGTTGGCCCGGTTTAGCTGGTTTCCTGTATGGAAAAGTCCATGGTACTCTGGTAAACTGCACTGACACTACAGTCGCCCATTCATTTACGCACTGAAAAAAATCTTTAATGTGTTTTAATTTGATTTTTTTTAGCCCAATACCATCAAAACATGTTCTGTCCATGCAATGACACATCGATCTGGTGGCGTACGGCAAAGTTATGTTGTCAGTTACGTTGTCCTCATTTCCTGCTTAAATGAAAGAAGTTGCAACCCTTCAGTGTTGTTTTTGGCAGGCATTTTAGATTTAGTTTTAGTCTTAGTCATTTTGACGAAATGCTTCTTCGTTTTAGTCCCATTTTAGTCATTTCTATCCTTGATAGTTTTCGTCTAGTTTTAGTCCGACGAAAACTCAAAAGGTTTTCGTCTAGTTTTAGTCGACGTAAAGGTGCCTTTTGAGGTTCGTGGTGTTCATTCCCGACAGTTTGAAGCATGAGGAAGCTGTGGCTCCACAACTGTCGTCTGTCTCGTCTCCCCGTCCCGTGTTTTATTGTCACTTTTATTTTATTGTCACTTGAACTGTATCTGAAGTAGGACCATAAAGCATCCCTCTTTTTTCGGCCACCGCTGCTGTGCCTGCCGCTACGGTGTGTGTGTGTGTGCGCGCCTCGTCCACCTGCCGCTCTGTGTATGTGAATGAGTGTGTGCGCGCAGCTGTGCGCGAGCGAGGCTTTTGGTGCGTGTGTGATTGGGGGCGTGACTGTTAGGACAAAAAAAAGCATGTTTTGAAACTTTGTTCGTCCACCTAATAACAATTTAGTCTCGTCTCGTTCTCGTCTGACGAAAATGAATATAATTTTCGTCACATTTTAGTCTTTACAGAGCTTTGGTGACGTTCGTCTTAGTCTCATTTTCGTCAAGGAAAAAAGGGGTCTGACGTTGTCATTTAAGTTTTCGTCCTGCCTGACGAAAACAACACTGCAACCCTTGCTAAACGTGTTAACTGATGGCGTCTGTGTGGTGTGGTCTTATTTCCCTTTGTCCCTTTGATAGTTTGACAACTCCAGTAAAAACCCTCTAATCCAAACTCCTGTCTCCTGTCAGTTTATTTCTTGTCTGCTGATTGAGTCCGACTGTTTTAACGTTTACTCACCTTTCTGCGTTAAAGCTTTAGACCCTCTCTAATGCCAGCTGCCTGTCTAGCTGTGAGATGGAAACATGGCTGATGGACCGCACTCAGGTGAAAAGTTTCGCCGCTCTCCGCTATCTGCCCAGGCGCTTCGCATTGTGGGTAACAGTAGGCGAAGCAGACTGTGAGATTTTCCCGAATCAGTACGTCATCTGGGTATTTTTTGCATATTGCGAATTTTGCATTTGCTTGCTTATTGCGTACTGAATTTTGGGCAAATCAGTACGAACTGCTAAGATAGTAGGTGAATTCAGGAAACAGCCACGGTGTCTGACAGCGCTGTGTCTTTGTTGATAATTTCAACATCAGTCACGCCAACAGGATCTAAAAAAAATCTAATGTAAATAATTGAGATGTGGCAGCAGGTCCGGGTTCGAACGGTCGGTGACTTCCTTTAAAAGTCTTTAGTTAATGAGGACTGAACTCTGACTCCAGGTTTGGAGACGTGACTGCAACAATAAACAAACTACATTTACCACACAGGTCCGACTCACAGTCACTGATTTGTGGCCTTTGTTGCTGTGCAGATTCACTCTGAACACACACAAACACACACACACACACACACACACACACACACACACACACACACACACACACACACACACACACACACCAGTAAATGCTCATTTTATGCTAATAGCTTGGAAGTATTTCCTTTGCTTTGTTCAAAGCTAAAATGAGCTTGAATTAAAGGTAATTGAGGACAAATCAACATGCACAATGCGTGGAGGGAGGAGATGGCGGTGTTAAGTGGTGGGTTTGGCAAATGTAAGGCAGGTTAATTTCCCCATTGCTGTTAAGTGGAGGCACACCGCTGCATTTTAATAAGAATAATTCTTCATTGTGTGCAGGAGTCTCCGAAAAAAGCAGGTGGCTGTGTTAGAAATGGAACCTTTTAAGTTACTGTGTATTTTGAAGTTTAGTGTTGGTTAAAAAAACACGACGACATTAAAGCAGAGTTTATTATTCCCTCTGAAATCTTTGTGAAAATGTAGAAACAGCCTCAAAGTCAGGACTTGTAGTAAACTCTCGCAGTTCATTTTTCCCTCTCCTCTGATTCACTGAGCTCTGGCAGCCTCTGAGCTCCGTGTGTCGGCCGCGACGCAGCGATGCGAGATAACTCGGCGTGTCACAGGATGCCTTTTAATAATAGCCCCGATGATAAATTACTTTAATCAGAGGAGCGGGCTTTTCCTGTAACTTATGATACAGGAAGCTTGTGAAGAGAATTGTTATGCCAAGCCTCATTGAGCGTCTTAATGTGAATCTTTACGTGTCCACAATTAGATTACGGCTGTGACATGGCGGCCGGCCCGGTGCAGGCTCTCTGACGGCTTCTTCTCAGGGCGGTGGACGGAGGCAGCAGAGAGCGAAATGAAGAAGCGTGTGTGTGTGTGTGTGTGTGTGTGTGTGTGTGTGTGTGGAGGGGGTGCAGAAGTCAGTGAACGGATCAATGGAAGTCATTATATGGTGCTTACCGTTTGGCCAGGTCACGGTGTGATGGATGTGTTGTGGCAGGTAATGGTCCTCTGCAGCCCCCGCCTCAGCAAATGGAGATGATGAACTCAGATGTGTTCGCTTGTCAACAACTCGTACCTTCGTCTGGTTCAGCAGCCGCCAGCAGGGCCTGGAACCCGCTTCACGGTTTACACGGAGGACACGAGCGGCTGAGCGACGGTTATAAAAACAATTAATTTTTTTCTTTTTTAAATGTGACTCTAAAAACGTAAATTTAAATGCTTCTTTGCAGGAACCACCTGAAAATGTCCGGGTTTTTCCGATCAGCTGTCATCGTGAATGTTGCAGAAAAGTTGAGCAGCTCTTCCTCGATTTATTTGGTGCATATTCTCCACAAAAGTGTTTGGTTGACATTGTCAGATGTTATTGATTGTATTGATTTTCACCCGACCAAACATGTTTACGTGATTTTCATGATGTTGCATTTGTCTGAATATCATTGGTCTCTGGGTATCTTCAGCATTTCCTTTGACATCTTTGAAGGTATATTTGTTTCCCTGATTTAAAACCTGTTTTTTCCTACAGACTCGTGTTCACAGGCTGATTTTAGTGATAGAGGGTAAAGTAGGTTCAGGTGGATTTGATAGCTGCATGTGGGGAATAAGGTCAGTAAGAGTGGTCCTGGAATTTGAATGCTATCTTTATTTAGCGCAGTGGTTATGAATAACTTTCACAAAGTTGTGATTTTCAAAAGGAATTCTACAAATCTGCCATATTTCGGTTCTCTCTCTTGCAGCCGAGGACCCTGAATCTTCACCAGAGAGGACTAACATGCTCCAGGAATGCGTGGTGAAGAAACTCAGTTTACAGTTTATATGTTTTTATTTTTATGAGTTTTTTGTTGATTAATGCCTATTTGTCACATATCTATATGGTCCCCTCATGACACTTTTTTCCCCTCCTTTTGGACATTACACAGTTAAAAATAAAAGAAAACTACTTTAATTTGTCAGGTTTTGTCCTATTTTTTTATATTTTGATGACAAGTACTTTTTCTTGAGTATATTATTTCAGGTAAAAATAACCTGATAGCGACAGTGATGGTGTTACTTATTTTAGCGATGGTGTTCTAGGGTTAATGACAATTTTACAGAGACGAGAGGGTAGGGTGACCTTACATCCTCTTTTACCTGGACATCAGTGGCGGTTGCTTTAAGACTGCAAGGGAAGCTCGGCTTCCCTTAAAATGTCACCCCCCCAAAAAAAGAAAAAGTGGTGAAATACGTACGGCTGTGTGTACATTTCATTAACTAAATACTTACTAGAAAGCCTTCATCTTTTGTTCAGACACTGTGATAAGAAGCTGATAATCACAGGTAACCGGCATAACTTCGTTCTCATTCATCCTCGCAGCGCCTCAGCGCTTCAGTCGGACGCTGGGCTTCTGCTGACTTCAATGTGGAAGCTAAAAGTGGGTTGTTCCAGCAGCGAAACTAGACGCTCATTGGATAAATGCTGGGCTTTGTCCCGCCCAATGGAAGCTAAGCTTCACTGGAGTTCTATGGCGAGAGGGCGGTCCCGACTTTCTCCCGGACTCCAAGCTTCTGCATTCATGATTGGATGAGCTGTCTGAGGCGAAATCCTTTTTTGATTGACAGCTAAACAAGCGAATCAGCGATCTTGAAGAATAAAACATCTACCAGAGCATTTTCCAAGTTATTCATTCTGTTGTTCTTAACTGCTCCAGAGACTTTACCGATCCTCAGTGACTTTTGTCTTTGTTAAAAACGACTGCCGCTGTGTTTGGCGACTCTGTTCTGTTACATACTAATAAACAAATACAATTATGATGTAGGCCAGAAAAATGAGCTTCCCCTCCTTGAAAGACCAGCAGCCGCCACTGCTGGACATGTCCTCTTTTTGGGGGACTGTCCGACCTTTTCCTGGGGAGTTTTTAAAATCCTTTAAATGTCCAGGGCTTGGTATGGAAGTTTTGAGTTGTTGTAGCGTGAACTAACTGAGTTAGAAGCGCGTAAAAAACACTCAACCTGACCTGAAACCCCTCAAAATTTACTACAGATGACTCTGCAACTCTGCCCCGCATATTCATGTCCTCTTTTAGGGGATTCAGAATATGATCACCCTACAAAAAGTTATTTATTAGCATTGGAAATTTGACATTAAATAACTTCTTATAGTTTTGGGTAAAAGAAAAAAACAGATTGATTCCACAGATCTTTAACAAACTGTGGTTTTTGCAGGTTTTCTTAAGAGGCTGCAGAGAAAGGAAACAAACTCAGCCTTCGCTCGGGGATGTAAAGTGAGACTGCATTAGCATCATTAACCCTTCGTGGAGAAAGAAATCCGCTCTGCTCTTTGTGTGACATTTTCCAAGGAACGATGCCGCACTTCTTTCAAGATGTTGCTTGAAATAGCAGAGAACATAGGATTGTGGAGCAAAAAGGAAAACATGTTGAGCGTCTGAAGGTCGTAAACAGCTCATAAATGAGAAGCAGGGAACAAAGAGCGGGGTCAAAGGTGAAGTGTTCTGCACAAAGCTGCACCAGCTTCAGATGAAATCATTCAGAGGAGCTCCTGAGCTGATTTTGTATCACATCACACTCGGGTTCAATAGAGCGGCGAATAAAAGACATTTCTGCCTCCAGCCTCCGAGCTGTGCCGTCTTCCCGCATTTATCCTGTAAGTCCTTCATTGTATCCTGATAAAAGCCGGAGAAATGTTACGAAACAGCTCGGCTCGCTCCGCCACCGCCGCCATCGCTCCCACCGCGCCGCCCTCCCTGCAGGCTGAAGGAGTGACACACAGCGGGGATGGAGAGGCCATTTTGTCTTTTTGGAAAGGCACTTTAGCTGCAGCCGCTCTGAGTGCTTTTATCATTATACGCCACTACAGTCTGGCCATTTGTTCTGACCTTGGGAAATGGTTTTAAAGGTCTCACCGTGTATGTATGTGTGCTCCAGAAATTGCCTGGATTGAGACGTTCCATGAAAATATGTAGTGAACGGCCTCTGTCGGCCCAGGCGGGGGTGGATAAGGGGAAAGCTATTTGGGGGACGGGGGCACAATCCAATTTGTTTGTTCACACTCCAGCAGAGCCAGATCTGAACAATTGATACATTAGGACTGGTTTTAGAGAGCAAATATGGCAGCCTGAGAGAGAAAGAGAGGGAGAGGAGGAGAATATACTGCAGAGAAGTGCTCCAAGAGTAAATTTACCTCATGGGCCATTGCACAGGGCGCAATATGAAACTATGATAAAAAAGAAATTGCTTTATTCTTTAAGTTATCAATATAATTCTGTCTCCGTGGCTGGCCCGTCTCATTCTGGCGGCAGGAATCTTTTGTTACCGCGAATTTTCTGTTGCAAAAAAAAGCAGAAGAAGAAGAAAAAAAAACGCACTTGTGAGGGTTCATTCAACATTCAAAGATAAATGCGCTCCAGGAGAGCGATGCCTCACTCAATTTGAAAAGCCCTGGCATGCTGTAACATCCAAATCCTTCAGAGTTGAACATGTCATCTCTGCCTGCAGTGACAAAGGAAATAAATTAGGAAAATGCAATGTCCTTAAATCACAATGTGGAGCTGGGCGAGAAAAAACCCAGCCTGAGCCAATCTTATCAGCGAGGACGACACAGTCCAGTTCTGCACAGAGAAAAGGGACAGCTGTTATTTCCTATTCAGCTGCAGGATCCCCGGGCCTGATAGCGTCTAATAACACGCCATAAATTAAATCTGCCGCATCAGTGCGCTCACGACGGCGTCCGCTCGGATAAATAGTGAGGTTCGATGTCGCAAAACGAGATTTTGGCAAACCATTATGGGAGGCTGTAGTAATCTTTTTTTCATTTTCATTTGTTCATTTAATAGGATTATTCATGAGGCAATGATGACAGCATGAGGAGGACGGGCCGATGCACAAAAAGGGAACCGGTGGCTGTTTCTGATTTTGCACAAATCTGAAGGTAAAGCAGCAGATTTTTTCTTTTTTGTGGAAAGAGAATTTGAGAACATTTAGAGGTGCATTTCTGACATACTTGAACACCTGCGAGCGCCGACCAAAAATCTGAAGAATTCACAGAGTGGTTATCGTAAATTGTGGATAAAATTCTCGGATTTCTTGAATAAAAACTGGCAGCAGAGATTCGAGGTCATTATATAACACTGGACTTCCTCACAAAAGACTTTTGAAAGTTGTGTTTCATTCGCCAACTTATATTTGGAGGAGGAAAAAATATAATCACAGCAGATTTTATTTTAACATTTGTCTTCTCTATCAGGTCGTTTGAGATCTTTTTTATTTTAAAGGGTTTGTCCATAAAGCACTCCTGAGAGCTGAGAATTTAACTCTGGTACAAAGACGTCAACTTCGATAAGATCTGAGCTAAAAGAACTGAAGTTAACGTTAAAATCTGCTCAAGCTGCCGAAGAGAGCAGCTGTGCATCCCCCGTATCCAAATCCAGAGCCCTCATCCTGGACCTGACTCTGACCCCGTTTATACGTACCCGGTTATTTTTTAAAATAAGACATTAACCATCGTTTGCGCCCTTCGTTTAGATGCAAATGGAGAATTCGCCCCTGAAAACGATGCTTTTTAAAAACTCCGTCCAGAGTGGAGATTTTGGAAAACTCAGTTTGCATGTAAAGAGAGAAAAACTGAGATGTGGGTAGCTGACGGCAGACTGTGCGCCGGAAAGAAGGAAGTGACGTTGTTGTTGTTGTTTTGTGGGATTCTGATTGGCTAATATGGGCTTGAGCTTTTCGCTACACTGCCACCTACAGGTTTGGCATGCTCTTGACAGCATATACACATAACTCTTCTACTAACGTAGTGGTGTGAATGCGTCTTTTTTTGTAAACAGAGAGGGTGAAATGTCAGTTTATGAAAACAGCCGGGCACGTGTAAATGTAGTCTCAGACCTCAGCCTGAGTTTGATTTAGAGAAATGACTCTAAAGTTTTTCTTTCTCTTTAACAAACTTCTCTGTGTGTGGAAAAAAAGGGCTCACAAACAAACAGGTCTTGTATTCGAGGCAGGCCTTAATATGAAACCTCTGAGTCTGAGCTACAAATAGAGTCCATGGCTTTTGTTCGTTCTAAACTTGTGCAAACCGGTTAAAAAAGACATTAAGTAATTCACAAAGCATGCACAAAATGTTAACTCCAACTCAACCAGTTCGATCATGAAGTACCTGTGATGGTCTGTGTCTCAGGAGAACCAAAGGAGGCCGATAAACGCAGAAACCAAAGCTTCATGACATCCTCCACAGATCCACACCAAAGAGGATCCAGATCAAGTGTGAATGACGCATAAATCTAAAGTCAAAACTCGTCTCGGGGGATTAAACTTGAAGTCTGGTAGAAGCAGATGTCATCTCCACCCTGTTGACTTTAGTTGAATTTTCGCTGCTTTAGAATAAACTGTGTCTAAACTCCCCTCTGACTGTAAATTAGTGCTGTGGAAACTGAGCCGGAGCACACAGGCACTGCTGCTGCCAATAGCTGGATGTTTCTAATTACTCAAAGCCTCATTTAACAAACCGTTCATTAGTGACACCCACTGGTAATAATAATTTAAACTTCATAAATATCATCTTTCATATCCTGCTGCCACAGCACTTCACATTACTGTTGTGACTCCAGCAACTCTGAAGGTTTTCGAGAAACTTCTGAACTCTAGTTAACATGAAAAAGTGATTTTCACTGATTTAATTCGGTCACTTTGGGGAAAACGGTCTCATTTTAAAGACAAAGTTAAATATCTGTTTTTGTTCAGGGAGACAAACTTCAGTTTCTGGAGTTTGGAAAGAGGAAAGTTGTCCTTAATAGTATAAACTCTTTAAAACAAAGGACGCAACATCTGTCATTTCCAATTCTGCATTGAAGGGCAAGT